GGAAGTGATACTGTATGACTTCTGTGTGGCTAGGTCATAAAAAACCAGCCTCTGCCTATTCCTTTCGCCTGGTCACTGTGCTGCATGTGGAAGCCAAGCAGCCCCAGCAAGGCCGTGTGCAGGTGTGCCAGCCAGCTGCCAGCTGCCAGATGTCAGCAAGGACATCTTCAGGATGACTCCAGCCCCAGCCAGCCCGTGGCGGCCAGTGTGCACAATCCCTGAGTGAGAACTGCCTGACTAAGCTCAGTCAACCCCCAAACCATGATCGATGATAATAAAATTACAGTTTCTGTGTTAAGCTGCTACTTTTGGGTGGTTTAGCAGCAAGAGTTAGGTCCTTGGAAGCAGGTGCTGTTGCAACAAAGCACCTGGCATTGGCTTTGGGACCTTTGTTGTCTGTGCTGACGTGGAAAAATGTACCTGGTGAACTCGATGATTGAGGCAGGGAGTTTCAAGGTCGAATAATGAAAGTACCTCTTGGCTTCTTCTCACTGTCTATGAAAAAATGTGAGAAGAACCGGTAGACAATTAAAAAATTAAGAAATGGCTTCCGGGCAGAAATCAAATATAGAGCACTGTCAGGAAAACACATAAAGATGAGGCCAAGAATGTAATATATCTAAAGATGAGGCTAAGAACATAAAAACCTTTGTTAAGACCTCAGAAAGATTTAAGGTTTCTTAGGGAACCCAAAACAGAGAAGAGTTTATCTTAAAGAGATTGGTTGTGTTTTTTGTCTAATAGAGTAAACTCCAAAAGGATTCATAAAAAACCCACAAAATTTTAAGAGAATTGGTCTGGTAAAGAACTTCCAGCTTAAATGAAAAGGGGCAGAGAAAGCACAACATGAAAAGAGACTTTTGAACCTCACTCCCCATCTTTTTTTTTATGAGCAGAAAACAGAGAAGGCTACATAGTTGCAAACAGTTCTTTTAATGGAAAAAGGAAGAAAAGATTCAGTCAAAAACCATAAGCCCAGAGGGCAGAGCTGAGAGGCTTGGTGACAACTCTCAGGCTGTAGGACTGAACCCTGAATAAGGAACAGGTGACGTGTGCCTGGCTGGATTTCAGAATTACTATGGACCAGTCATTCTCCTAGGTGCTCTCATGTTCCAGCTTTTTGAATAGGAGTATGTATAATGGTTTTCCGATGCCTGTCCCATCATTGTATGGTGTGTGCGTGTGTGTGTGTAAACATGTATCTTTAGTTCACAGATCTTTAGATCCAGAGGAATGGCACTCAAGAAACTACCCCAAAAAATCTCATCCAAGAAGCCTCATCTGCACCTAGGCTTGATTTGGATGGCAAGATGCTAGACTTCAAGCTGATGCCAACATGGGATGAAATTTAGAAGTCCTGGGGGAAGGAATGAATGCATTTTGCAGGTAGGAAGAATGTAAATTGTTGCCAGAGGGGAATGTGGCAGATCTCATTTCGCAAGATGGCCAGAACAATATCTTCCATCCCAGATGCTCTTCTAACAGTGTGACATTGACATCCCTCCCATTGTAGTGTGAGTTCTACATTCCTTCCTCTTAATCCAGGCAGGTTTGTGACTAAGGCAGAAGTGACACTGTGACTTCTGAGTCTAGGTTGTAAAAATCAATAATGCTGTTATTGTATCAAGACACTAAATGTTGGGGGTGATTTTGTTGTGCAGCAATAGATAACTGAGACGACTGGAATGACAAACAAATATATGAAGACATCAATTCACCTGACAAATATATCGAACATTTACTCTGTGCCAGGCACTCTTCTTGGTGCTGGAGATTTATTTATTTATTTATTTATTTTTAATTTATTTTTATTTTTTAAAAAGATGACCGGTAAGGGGATCTCAACCCTTGGCTTGGTGTTGTCAGCACCACGCTCAGCCAGTGAGCAAACCGGCCATCCCTATATAGGATCCGAACCCGGGGCCTTGGTGTTATCAGCACCGCACTCTACCGAGTGAGCCACGGGCCGGCCTAGATTTATTTATTTTTAATTAATTAATTTTTTTTAAAGATGACTGGTAAGGGGATCTTAACCCTTGACTTGGTGTTATCAGCACCGCACTCTACCGAGTGAGCCACGGGCCGGCCTAGATTTATTTATTTTTAATTAATTAATTTTTTTTAAAGATGACTGGTAAGGGGATCTTAACCCTTGACTTGGTGTTATCAGCACCATACTCACCCAAGTGAGCCACAGGCCGGCCCCGGTGCTGGAGATTTAGAACAGACTAAAATCTCTCTCCCCTAGCTGGGCTTACACTCTAGTGGGGGATACAGGCTATAAACAAGTGAATAATAGATATAGTATGTTGCATAGTGATAAATGCTAAGGAGAAAATAAAAAAAACAGCAGGGGTGGCAAGGGAGAGCAAGGGTGGTGAGTGAATAACATTTTAAATAGGGTAGACAGGGAAGGAATCATTGAGGTGATATTTGAGAAAAGACCTAAAGCAAATAAGGGAGTGGATGACTCATGTACATCTGTGGGAAGAGGATTCCTCATAGAGGAAGCAGCAAGTACAAGAGCCCTAGCAGGGCGGAGAGCCATGAGGCACGTGGAGTGAGGGGACGAGCTGCAGGGGACGAGGTCAGAGACATAATGGATTGGGAGTGTATTGCCTTCTAGGCTATTATAAGGATGTCTTTTATTCAGAGGGGGTTGGGAAACCATTGGAGGGTTTTGAGTACAGAAGTGATATGATCTTAGTTAAGTTTTAACAAGAACATTCCGGCTGCTGTTTTAAGAAAGAAGGACAAGAGAAGCAGCAGGAAGACCAGTTATGATGTTCCTGGAATAATCCAGGAGAAAACCAACAATGACTCAGACCAGAGTAACAGCAGAGGACCTGGTGAGAAGTGGTTGAGTTCTGGGACACATTGTGTAGCTGAGAGGTTCGTGGACAGAAGGGATGCAGGAGGAGAGCACGACGGAGGAGTCAAGGATGACTCCAAGGTTTCTGGCCCGCGTGATTGGGAAGGATGGAGTTGTCATTTACTGCGATGGGGAGACTAAGAGGAGCAGGTTTGGGCTGATGTATAAAGGAATTTAGATCTGGACATGTTAAGTCTGAGGGCCTTTTAGACATCTGAGATGCCCAGTGTCTGCGTTCCAGGAGACGGGATCTGGGCTGGAGATATAAATTTGGGGTCAACAGTAAGTGGCTGGTGATGAATGAAAGCCGTGAAATGGAAGTTATTTAATCATTTAAAATGAGGATGAGGTCTAGAGCTGACCCCCAGGCCAACGTTCCTTCCAGAATACTACGCTGCTTCTCCGTATCTCACTGGGCATTCTGAACCACGCCGGACTTGGCCCATTCTGGAGCACAGTGTTACCATACAGCAGGAGTGGTGAAGAGATCAGGTCTAATGCCCAGACGGCCTAGATTCATGTGCCAGTCCCGCTACGTGATCTCCATCACATGGTTATTGAGGATCAACACGTTTCAGAGTGGCTTGCACACAGAATATACTCATGAATGTGAAGGACCGATCAATCCCGGCAGACTTCCTCCAGCCCAACACCAGCCGATACCAACAGGCAACTATGGATGTTTCCCTTCAATTAAAAACTTACCCAGTTAGATGGGGCCTATTTATGACCCTTTAGTACCCCAACGAAAACATCATGAAATTCACTATTTTGTGTACCAAACCCAAAGGTGACAAAAAGTGAACAAAGTAATGTGCTCAGCTATTCTTTTCAAGATATTCTATCAACTCCTTTAAAAAGCCTACACAACACAAGAAGTTATTTTAATCATCTTTCTCCCAAGGATCATTTCTCTTCTGCTGATCTGATTTGCAGATTCTCTTTCCTCTTTGACAATCTTCCTTTTAGCCAAGACCTACTATAAAAATATTTTTGAATTTATTTTAATATTCATAATAAACAGATTGAAAGCAAATACATGTTTCTATAAAACAGCAACCCTGAAACTCTAAAAACAGAAATCCAAAGCATCTTTCCCCTTAGAGATGGCACAGGCAGGGAGCTACCTGGCAGAAGGTCCCCAAAACCTCCAAATTCTGAATATTCAAAACAACAAGTGCATACAGAGGTTTCAAACAGCATCTTATTACATTCATGGAGGACGACGGGGGTGGGGGAGGGATTCAAATAATACAACAGAACCCTATGAGGTTATCACCTGGACAAACAGGAGACAAGCAATACACATTCATGAGACGAATACACAAGATCAGGGAAGACACCAGTAAACATCACAATTTTATAAGCATACATGTATGGAAGCTCAGTGAGAAGTAAACTAAATTATCTGCATGGTGGGACTATGGGTGATGTTCATTTTCTTCTTTTTTCTAATTTATATTGTCTAAAGGTTTTGCTATAACAAATACATTGTATTTTTTGGGAAAAAAAAAAGTGATTAAGTCCACACGGGCTCTAGTGAAGGAGCAGACATAGAGGCTGGATATCTGCTCCTCAACTAACCAGCCAGGTGACAGTGGGCAAGCTACCTACCTCTGCACATCCCACACCCTGACTTATTTTTAAAAAACCAAGCAGAGATAATTGTCTTCCTAGAGGACGAAACCATTAGTGTCAAGGCCTTTGCGTGGTGCCCTGCGCACAGGAAATGCTATAGAAGTGCTTGCCATCAGTGTTACTGTCATTATTTCACGAGCTGGTAGAAACAGTTTTGTAAACTGAAGTGCCTAAGAAAACGCTAATGCAAATGGGTTGGGCTTGAGTAGGAATCTTGAAGTTCAGGGAAAAGATATCTGAGTAGGGTGACAACTGGAGAAGGGCAGAAGATGGAACGTGCCAAGGCTCACCCCCTTCAAACCAGCAAACAGTGAAATGAAATGAGAACCAAATGCAGCATCAGGACTGACACGAACGGGAAAGTTTTATCTTAAAAATAGCAATCCTAATTGGCTCCAGAGAAGATAATCCAGGCTTGCAAGCTCATTGGGCTCTTGTTTACGTCCCCCCCCCCTTTTTTTCCACAAAAAGAAGAGAGACTCAAAGAAAATTCCTTCTGAACGTGTATCACCATTTATTGTAGTTTGCGTTAGGAACTGAACAGAGGACATTGTCTGTGGAGGGGGGAAAAAAGGAAAAGAAAAAAGAAAGTATGTTTTTATAGATTTAATTTTTTCAAAACACTTTATGGTTTCAAATCCTTTTTTACCCCAAAGGAAATTCAAGAATTCAAGTATGTTAAGTAGGGAGCAGTAATACAAAAAGTCTTCTGCTTGTGTGCGTGGGAGTGGCTGTGTCTGTGTGTGTGTTAAACAAGCAGACATCCTTCCACATTTCTTGCACCCTTTTTTGCTTTGGTAAGCTCGAACCCCAAAGGACACATCATACAAATGACCCCCTGCCTCGAACTCACAGACTCAAGGGTTGAGGAATTAATTTACCCTCATAGGATAACTGTAAAGGTTTCGAGCTGTCACGCAGCATTAAAAAAACCAACCCTCACCCTCCCCACCAAAACCTATAAGTCACATAAGTCCTGATATACTCAAACTGTCCTCTGCTGCAACTGCTCCTTAGATCCCAAATAGAGGGCTTACTGTAAGGACCAGAGCAACAGGATACTCTTCATTTTGTTTAGAATAAAAAAATTTAAAAGGGACATTTCTAAAGAAAAAAAAAATAAAAACTAAAATTCAAATTCTGAAAATATCTTGCCTTTTTTATTAATCATGTCATCTAACACCAATTAAAAAAACAAATATGTGAATATGATATAAAAATACGATCCCAGGATTAACACTTTGTCGCAGGCACAGTTATCTCACAGAATATATGTTTGCGGGGCAGGGAAAGGAATTTATTTTTGTTTTTGCTTCTCTTAAAAAAAATCCACAGCAGTGCAAGTAGGGGCAGGAAGGGGAAAGATTCTTTAGCAGCAAAATGTCCAAGGTTCTCTAATCACAATCAAATCAACGGATACCAGATTAAAAAAAAAAAAAAAAAAGATGAAGGGGGTTGCTGCCCAGACCCACTGGTCATCACTAAAAGACTTCCATTGCAAAAGCCCCAAATTGTGACATATGAAGGACATGTTTTATTATACAAGCAATTGTAAAACTCGTCCCTCAAGCTTTTGATTATGTTTGTCACTTAAATATATGTACAGGAATCGGGCTCCTCTTTGCATTCATGTCCTTTCAGATCTCTTCCATTTGGTCGCTCTGGGTGGGCTCTCGGGGTGTTCTGCCACATCTGGCCTCCAACGCGTGAACAGCAGTTTCACCACAGATGCTGCTGCTGCCTGCCTTGCCCGCCGTGGCTGTGTCTAGCAGAGGGTGGGCGAAGGGGACGGCTTAATGATCGCTGTTCTGTTTCTCTCTCATCCATGCCTGAATCTGTTCTTTCAGTTCTGGCACTGAGGAAAGAAAAAGACAGGAGGATTAATGCCCAGATGGGAGGGCTCTTCCTGAGAGACGATGCTCGCAGCTCTGTGTAAATGGAAAGAAAGGGCCACTCATTCCCTCCCTAAGCTGAAGACCACAGAAGAAAGAGGACATGGGAAGGAAAGACTAGATGTCGACAGTGAAAAAGAGCAAAGAGCATTTGTGTCTTTTCCATCAAAAGTGTCATAAACTAGGTAGTTTCTGGGTTTGATCAATTGCCCTCTCTCGCTTAATCTCTGACACGTGGCTTGGGCTCCACAAACCAGCCCTGCGCTGGCACCGCAGCTCTACCTGGCTGCAGCATGCTCTACCTGGCTGCAGCATGCTCTACCTGGCTGCAGCATGCTCTCAGTCAGCGTTTGCCGGTTGAAGGGGTCCGTGGGGGAGTTGAGCAAGTGCCGCAGGATGATGGAGCGGTCCATGATGGTGCCGGAGGGCAGCCGCACGGGGTCGGTCATCAGGGTGTCCATCAGAGGGTCTGCAGAGACAAAGCAAAGCAAACTCCAGTCTAACAGTGGAGCCTAAAACTGAAAAAGAAAACAACACAAAGCCTCTACCAGTGGAAAATATATCCAAATGAAAAGCAATCGAATGACCCTCGCTGGGCCCCCAAGTTTAGAAGGAAATCAGCATTAGATACAGGCACACACATCGTCTTCTGAAGAGGGGAAGTACCCTTCTGTCAGCTACTGCTGGGAGGAGACAGACAAAGACAACACTAGGAAAGACATAGCAGCAGGCCCCACAACCAGGTGCCTTTGTCTTAGGACTTCTTGGAATTCTTCTTTGAAAATGTGAATCCTCCCTTGCAAAGGCAACACTGGCCTTAAAAATCCTCAGGGTTGTTATCTGGTTTGAAATCAGGCTAAGAATGTTATCTCCTTTTCATTTACCGTATAAGCTAAAAATAGGCAAATATAATTTCAGACAAGGTGTTTCAAAGAGCAACTACCGCACACCATTAAAAAATGAAAAGCACAGTATGTACTCATTTAATGTTACATATTTCAAGTAAACTCAAATCAAAGACTTCAGCATGAAAAAGGCGGGTCTACTTGCCTCTGAACTCGTCTGGAGCATCACTGTAGTCGATCTCTGCACGTGCGTTCTTGGCCACTATCTCCTCCACTTTCTCAGCAAGAAGTTTAAATTTCTCTATTGCTATTGTGGATTTGATCCCTGCCTTCCGCATCTTTGAAATAACTTCTTCAAACAATTCCTTGCTGTAGGATCTCTGCAAATGAGGAAAGGCAACGTGAGGCATGAACATATTTTAGGTAGAAAAAGCAAGCTGCGGAAAATATCCAAACTATGATCCACTTGTGGTCTTGTTTTTCCCTCCTAAAAAAGGCCTAAAATTATATGCAATTATATATTATACTTATTCCAGTCTTTTATGCATTTATAGCCACATAAAAGTATATACTTTTTGCACTTACAAACGTATAGAGAAAGACAGAACAACATGTGCCACGTTGTGCGAGGTCATTGCCTCTGCTGCGGGCTGTGGGACTGAGGCAAATGGGGGGTTCTGACTTTGATTTTCACAGCTAGCGTGCATTTCTTTTAAAGTTTAAACATTAAAAAGAGAAGGAAATCTAGACTGTTTCAGTCCTTGCGGGGCACAGCGCCCTAGCAGCCTGAAGGGAGGTGGAAATTTCAGCTCTCTTCCATAAAGATAAACATGGTAAAAAAAAAAAAAACAAAAACCCAATATTGTTTATACTCAAAAGGAGCTTTCTCCCACTCACGATCAATCCTTCTTTAAGATCACTTAGTTCAACACTATCAAATGCCAGGTGCTCTGCTGTCATTAGACCACCTGATCAATGGGTGAATGGGTCTGGGAACAGACATGATTTGTGTCCCTGAGAGGGAAAGTGGCGACTAGAAACAAGTGCACAGCATGGACCCAGACAAAGCTGGATGTGAATTCTGGCTCTACCACCTACCAGCTACGTGGCCTGAGGCAAATCCCCAACTCTCCCGAGCCCATTTCCTTTGGTGTAAAATGGGTAGGTATAGTAACACCTATCTCACAGGTGCCTGATTCATGTAAACTGCTGCCACTACAAAATGCCAAAGTATATCATATTCTGCATTTATAGCAAAACAGTAGCTATTTGTTGATTTAATGACAATGAGACAAATAGAGGAGGGGAATGATTAAATCTGAGACCCTATGATGGGACCATGATCTCTAATCATATTGGGTAACACCAAAAAATTTAGACTGAAATGAAGTTCCACTGTTAAATAAACAAGCGTCAGTGTTTCAGGCTTTGTTCATCCTTGTGCCCCCACCCCCCAAATGGAGAGAGGATTGTCTGTCTGTCCATCTCTCACTGACCCTAAGACTGCAAGGCTGTAAGAATTAACAAGTGTGTCACAGGCACAGGGCTGGGTGCTAGCCAGCCTGCTGTGGTTGGGCTGTGTCGATTGCAACTCCAAAGCACGCCCTTCCCCAATGCCCCTCCCCCCAGCGCAAGCAGCGGCAGGGCCAGCTGGGCCCACCCTGTCCCTTCTGCTGGGTCAGGACTCTTGCTGCCGCAGACTCAGGCAAGGCCTGGAAGAACAGCTCCTGCCTTCAGGATCTGCTTTACTGTGGGGGCCTGGTTCATGCTCTTGCTCCCCTGAGCTTTCACTCTTAACAGTGGGACCTGTCATTTTTATCTGTGGATTCACACTGAAATCCAGAGCAGGAATTCATCTCAATACTTGTGTTCTTTTAGAGCACTGGATTGAAATTCCCCAACCTTTCTTCTTTCTTTTTTTAACTTCAGTTTCTAAATAAGTGCACACACTCGCTCCGTCTCTCTATGCACACCCACGCCCCTTGTTAACCATGCAACCAAGGGGAAAACACAGAAAACGGTGAAGTGGTAGCAGGGTGGTTGGGCCTCGCAATAATCCTACAGGCCATCTTCGAGAACCCTGAAAAGCTCAGAGAGCCTCAGCTACAGTTTTCTGAAGCTAAATCATTACATTAACTCAATAATACTGAATTCAGTGCTTACTTCTTTTGAGCCAGGTAAAGCCACAGAAGATAAATGGCTGAAAGATTATAGTAAAATGTAGGAAGAGCAAAAACGCACAGAGAAGTACTGAAGGTTGGTGTGGGCACTGCTACAGACACTATTTCACCGCGAACTTCTCTTTGTAACAAGTAGCTGATTCTTAGCCCATTTGTTAACCTCATAAAACGTCACCCGCTCTATTTCTCAGAAGATGACAAGTTTAACCAATTGACTTGTGCTTGCTTGTAAGTCAGTTTCTAAGATGCAGCGGTGTAGTGAGCATTATCAGAAATTAAAGGTTATTTGTAATAAGGGGACATGGCATTCAGTCAGCCTCAGCAGCAGCAGCAATGAATCAACCAAATACTTATTTCTTCAAGTTTGGTGTGGTAGGCGTCCGAGAAGCCGCATAGATGTTGTTTCTGACCTGAAGGATCTTACAGAGTGGTTACAAAGCTAAACATGGGAATATTTGCAAATCATGTAAGGGTTTAGTAGTCAGAATATATAAAAAACTCTTACAACACAAAAATAGAAACACAAACAACCCAATTATAAAATGGGCAAAGGACTTAAATAGACATTTTTTTCCTAGAAAATATATGAATGGCTAGCAAGGAAATGGAAAGATGTTTAACACTCTTTGTCATTAGGGAAATGCAAATCAAAACCACAATGAAATACCACCTCACTCCCACTAGGATGGCTATTAAATAAACAAATAAACAGAAAATTAACAAGTGTTGGGGAGGATGTGGAGAAATTTGAATCCTTGTATGTTGCTGGTGGGAATGTCCAAATGGTGGCTTTGGAAAAAGTTGGCGATCCCTCAAAAAGTTAAACATGAAATTAACATATGATCCAGTAATTCCACTCCTAAGTATATACCGAAAAGAACTGAACACTGGTCTTCAACAAATACTTTTACATGAATGTTCATAGCAGCACTATCCACGATAGCGAAAAGGTGGAAACAACTCAAATTTCCACCCATGGATGAATGCATAAACAAATCATGGTAGATAAATATAATGAAATATTATTCAGCCATAAAAAGGAATGAAGTAATGACACATTCTACAACATAGATGAGCCTCAAACCATCATGCTAAACGAAAGAAGCCAGACACAAAAGGTTACACATTTCATGAATCCATTTACATGAAATATCCAGAATAGGTAAGTAGGTAAATCCAAAAATACACAAAATAGAGACAGATTAGTGGTTGCCAGTGGCTGGGGCAAAGGAGAAATAGACAGTGACTGCTTAATGGGTATCAGGTTTCCTTTTGGGGTGATAAAAATGTTTTGAAACTAGACAGAAGTGATGGTTGCACAACACTGTGAATGTACTACATGCCACCAAATTGTACAGTTTTTATTTTTGTTGGTAGCTGGCCTGTACAGGGATCCGAACCCTTGACTTTGGTGTTACAACACCATGCTCTAACCAACTGAGCTAACCGGCCAGCCCCTAAGTTGTGTACTTTAAAATGGTTAATTTTATGTTACGTGTATTTCACTTCAATAAAAAAAAAGAGAAAAAATTAAACAAGAAAATTAAGTACTAAACTGTGAGACGCAGACAATATTCTGGCAGGTTAGAGGAGGGAGCTATTAACTTAGGAAAGACAGCATGGGAGAGGTGTGGCTTCAGATGGGCTCTTTATTTTTTAATGGAAAACGCTGTTAACAGAAAATGCTCCACGAATGCCGGATGTGCAGTCTGTCTGTGGGACTGGAGTCTGCCTGTAAAAGCACAATCAGATGGGCCATCAATGCCACCTGGAGAGTCACTCTAGATATCCCTATCCTGGGTTCTCTCAGCTCCGGGGACCGACTGTTGTGTTGTGATGTGGGGCTCTCCCCCCAGGTCTGTGAGTGTAAAGCTCAGTGGCTCTTCATGCTAGCGCCTTTTTGTCCTGCTCCTGGACACTTGTCTTCAGCCTACTCTTGGTCCGTAGGGAGAGAAGCCTCTCAGTTTCTTTCCCTGCAGAGCTGTCATTTTTTTTCTTCCTTTTTCTTCCCAGGAAAACAGGACATACCAAACCAAACCAAAACTGCTGCTTCCAAAGGAGAAATGAAATTCTTCTACCCTCCTCTGGTGCTTTCTAGCCTTCCACCCTTCTAGCCCCCAAAAGCTTCTTCTAAAACAATCATGCAGGTAGGCCCCTAATCAGCTTATGGCCAATACAAACAGAAAATGCCCAATAATTAGCACAAACACCACACTGGAAAATGAAGTAAAAGCCCCACTCTGAATGTTTTTCTCTGCATGTGTCACTGACAGGTGAGGAAGGAGCTATCAACTTAGGAAAGACGGCATGGGAGAGGCATGGCTTCAGATGGACTCTTTATTTTTTACTGGAAAATGCTGTTAACAGAAAATGCTCGATGTTTGCTTCATGGGTCTGGAAGAACAAGGCTATTTAGACATTCAAGGAGACCTGTGTGCCACTGTGCAGAAACTGCTAAGACTCAAGACAGGTGCCACCACAATCCGCAGGCATTACCAGGTAGTGTGGACATTCTGGGACATTCTGTTGGTCACCAAGGAAAGGCAGCTTGAACACTCCTTTGTCACCCACTTGGTTTTCACCATCTCACTGGGTGTGCTGTACTCCTCTAAGAGTACACAAACTTTATTTGTGTTACATTAGCTTCTTGAGTTACATTTCCTGTTGCAGCCACAGCAAGACCGACCAGGAGAAGAGGGAGCAGGCTAAATAACTTCCAAAGCTCCCTACAGTGCAATTGGAAGAGCCACTGGGGACTTTTCACACTCTGCCCTCCTGCTGGGCTGCAGATCCCCAGCTCCAGGGGAATGTACGGCCCCACCTTGACAGGTGAGCACTTCTGTTTTCTGTCCCTCACTACAGACTACCACTTACCCTCCATTTCTAAATATGTGCAGTATTATACAGTAGTAGGCTAGAAAAACCGTACATATTTTAACATTTCCCCCAAATAACTATAGTTTCCTAACCTCCTCATTCATCACTACTACTTATGGAAATGCTTTAGACATGTATTTTTTTCCATTGCAGGTCCTTTGTCAAGACCACTTCCCTTGCTTATATCAGAAAGCACCTACATGTGTGAATCATAGCTCAATAAAGCTGCTGTTTTGGAGCTGGCCAGTTAGCTCAGCTGGTTAGATTATGGCCTTGTAACACCAAGGTCAAGGGTTCAAATCCCTGTACTGGCCAGCCACAAAAAAAAAAGAATCTGTAAATTTGTACAAAGTACCTACAATTCTTTTACTTTAACATTATTCCTTTGGATAAGACACGGGTAAAGAACCTTTTAGAACACTTACTGATGGTCACCCTGAGACACGAGTAATACTTAGATAAGTAGTGTGAACAAAGATAGAGACACAGAAACAAGCATGGCGCTTTCTGGGCATTTCAAGTGGGGAGCAGAGAGGTTGAGAATATGGGCTCAGGCCCAGGCTGCCTGGACACTGAACCCTGCCTCTACCAGACACTAACTCTGTGACCCTAAGCAAGATATGTAACCTCTCTGTGCCTCAGTTTCCTCATTTTAAAATGAGGGATTTAAGAGAATCAGCACCATCGGATTTTGTGAGGATTAAATGCGTGAAAGTATGAGAAGTGGTTAGGACGTGTACAGGTTAATAAGCCCTGGCTATTATGATGCTGAAGACCAGACAAGGAGGGGAAGCCCTTGGTGAGATTCCTAGAAAATCACACGGGCAGAGACAGCTAGGACTGAACTGGAGACTGTGGAAATGAAGGGCACGAGACACCTGACCCCGGGGACACAGGAATAAAGGAGAGGGAAGAACGTAAAGATAACCACAGGAGGCTTTAAACCCGGAAGACCACGAAAGTAACGACAGCACTACAGCAGCAGACTTAGGACGAAGATTTGGATTCCCTGAGAAAATCGGGTTCTTTTGGGAATGTATTGGTTTGTTGAGTAAGGCCCTTAGCAAGACACAGTAAGAACTCAGCTGGAAAAGGATCAGGGAGCCAAATCTGCTCTTTGCGCCCAAAGGAAAACCACCAGTTCATCTCCATCAACACCAGACAAATCCCCCTGCCACTGGGGACATTATTTCCATTTACACACTAAAAACTTCTCAAACCACAATTTGAAAAGTATCATCTTCCTTCATTTCGAGGAGGGAAAACCCAGGGTGGGTGGATATGTAATTGCACAGCATCTGCTGCTGAAGCCACAGAGAGGCAAACTCACACTGCCCAGGTCAGCAGCCTGAACCCCAGACTCCCTGTGAAAGGGCCTCACCCCCCTGGCACTGACCTGATCGTCAGCAATGGCCTTAGCGAATCGAGCACAGTCCAGCTGCAAGTAAATATCTGTCAGTTGGTCCAATAGCTTCTTTGGTTCAAAGCCGTATTTCTCAGGATTTTCAACTTTCAGGTCACGGCACTTGGGGCCACAGAGTTGCTGAAGATTAAAGTTCAGCATTGCAGCCAATCGGGGTCCAAGTTCCTAGGAAATCACAGGATAATAGGACAATTCATGCTGCTGAGACAAGTGAGAAGGACCAGAAACTCTCAGTTCAGTGGAACAATAGGAATTGGCTGGATTAATCTTCAAACAATCCCTTATATGTGCTCCGTATCATAAACTGAAGATGGACAGCATTATATTCAAACTTTTCTTTACTCCCCATTTCTTATCTGATAATTCTAATACTTAATGGAATGTTGAAGGCTGATGGGATATTTATAAATGCCAACGAAAGGCCAATCTTTTCTTTAAACTCGTGCTTTTAATTCTAAAAACAATTCTTTCTCCAAATTCATTGAGAAACAGGTGAAAGAGGGGAAATTATTCATAATTCCATCATCATACAAGTCGCAAAAGTTTCTGAGTCTGCTCTTCTAGCTATCATTTCATGCATTATTTTTCCATAAATTTCAAGAGTTCCTGACGGTTCAGGCAGTGTGTGCCATTCTTATTTATTTATCAGATACAGAGAGAGAAGAAATGCAAAAGAAAGATAAAATGGGGCCGGCCCGGTGGCGCACTTGGTAGAGTGCGGTGCTTGGGAGTGTGGCGGCGCTCCCGCCGAGGGTTTGGATCCCATAATACAGACCGGTCTGCTCACTGGTTGAGCACGGTGCGGGCACGACACCGAGGGTTGCGATCCCGTTGCCAGTCGTGGTACGGGTGCGACACTAAGGGTTGTGATCCCGTTACCGGTCACGAAAAAAGACAAAAAGGAAAAAAAAAAAAAAAAAAAAGAAAGATAAAATGTATGTCTTGAATAGTTGAAAATCTAGCTAGTGAGATAAAGTAAGCTTAAATGAAACAACTAGAAAATAATTATAAAATAATAAGCAATAACCCCACAAGTTGACAGTGTCCGCCACAGTTGGGCATATACTGCTTTAAGCAAAAAAAAATTTTTGCTTAAAGTATTTTTGCTGAAATAGAAAAATCTGGCTTAGATTAGAGAGTATTAAACACTGACCATAAAAAGGGAGCCACAAAAGCTTCCCTTTGGGTAATAAGGTTTTCAAGAGATGTAATGATTGGATTTATAACTTCAACTTCTACTCAGATTTTCAAGAATCTGCTTTTGCACAAAGTACTCCTGTATCTAACTGGTGAGAAGTTGTGAAATGAAGGAGTGAGTGATATAATTTTCTTTTGAAGTAGGAGAGTTTTGAGCCAGCCAGTAAATTGGCAAAAACAGCATAGCAAAGGAAATGGAAACATCAAAGCAGGGCTGGGTGCAAGACCAGGGGAAAAGGACAGGCCGAGGTATAGAGATGGCTTGGGCTGATGAGCAGGCCTTGCAAAAAATTAACTGTAACTGACATGAGAATATTAGGCTTAGCTCTCAGTAATTTCCTCTACAAAATGAAGAATGCAGAACTAAGAGCAGGCTTTATGATAGTTCAGTCTCAAATAATTCATTACAGTTTCCTACTTGCTAACAGTCAAATAGTACCACTGCTAGAGTCAGTGAACAAAAGATAAGACATGGTCTATCTAGTGCAGGGGTTGGCAAAATACTATCTGTGGATCAATTCCAACCCAATGCCTCTTTTTGCAAGTAAAATTTCATTGGAATACAGCCATGCTTATTTGTTACGTTTTGTCTGTGACTGCTTTCTAGCTGCAACAGCAGAAGTGAGTAGTTGCCACAGAGACCATGTAGCCCACAATGCCTTTAAACTATTTACCATCTAGCCATTGTAGAAAATGTTAAAAGTAATTGCATTTTGGGAATTCCTTTAAGGGAAGTAAGTGTCTGAATGGTGAGCTCTGTTTTGTCTCACATTCCACTGCCCTTGCACTGAAATCTGTTTATGAAGAGCCATGGGATGGAAAGGGGAACGAGAGGAAGAGATTCATCTCGAGGGCAGTTCATTTCTCTTGGTGCTAATAAAGGGCAGTTGATTTCTCTTAATGACAACTTGTACTTAGTCATCGTTACTTTAAAAATATGAGATGCTTTGAGTTGCACACAGGTCCAGGTGTGGCAATAATGCCTCTACTGGAGATGACACCATGAATCACGTGACAGAAGTGAGAGTGAGTACACACGTCAGAGGAAATATGCAGTAAAGGGATATTCCATTGTAAAATAAACTTGTCTCCATACAGGTGAATAACCACGCAAACTCAGGTCCCTTTCTCGCCTTCCTCCCACCCTATCCTGGCCTCGTCATAACACTTCTCAGCTTCAACACTTGGGTGTGGTCAAAACAGTTATGTTGCTCAGTTTCAATTTCAGAAACAGGACCCAGGTCTTATTAATCATGTCAAGGCCAAACATTTTTTTTTTCCTTTTTTTGTCTTTTTTACTGACCAGTAACGGGATCGCAACCCTCAGTGTCGCGCCCATACCAGGGACCGGCAACGGGATCGCAACCCTCGGTGTTGTGCCCGCACCACGCTCAGCCAGTGAGCGGGAACCGGTCTCCACATGGGATCTGAACCCTCGGCGGTAGCGCCGCTGCGCTCCCAAGCAGCGCACTCTCCAGTGTGCCACTGGGCCGGCCCAAGGCCAAACATTTTGACTACCTTTGATCTACCATGAACCCTAATTATGGCTGTCATTAACCTTCAGCTTCTTGAGTGTAACAAAGTTGCACCTATGAACACCGAAGACTGTACATGTTATCAAATATTCTACTTAATATACTACAATTTCCAATTGATGCTACCTTATACTTTTCCTATAAATATAGAAATCAATAATGATAAAAATGTTATAACATCAATGTTAATAATTTAATGTCCTATCTAAGCAAAAAGTGAATTAAGTCATCTTGGAAGTGACTGTTTGCAGACTACATAGTGACATTAGACATTTTCACAGCAGTCTATCAATAGAATACTGTGTGTATCAACTAACATAATTGGGAACAAAATCAGTAACAGAATTTCACTTATCAGTGGCTGTGATACTAAAATTTCCAAGATTTCAACAACTGTATAAAGTTATAAGTAGTACAGTCTGAATGTGGAGTCCAGGAGGCCAAACGAACAGCCTCCAGTTTCTACTCACTGGTCTGAGGAACGGCTTCTGGACCTGCTTGGTGAGGATATGGAACATGTCCACGGTTTCGGTCGCCAGGGCGAGATAAGAGCGTGAAACCCGCTCATCCTGAGCAAGCTGGGACTGACGGGCCTGCTGCTGATCCTAGGAAAAAGACGCCAGATAAATCTCAGTACTGCTCAGCAGCTCACCACAACGCTGAGCACGAAGGAAAAACAGTCAGCTCACAACTGGGAAAGTGTGCAATAAAGCCAACAGACTTAGGGAATGACATAAGAACCCACCAGTGAACTTTCCAGTTAACTGAAGTTTACTCCTGTCAGCATCAGAACTCTTTAGGACCTGGAGTCAGGTGACCATGGCGTATTATTTTAATTCCCATGAGCCTCAGTTTCCTCAATGATAAAAGAAGTCACCATCAACTTCTACGTAGGATGAGATGAATGAATCTAACATATTCAGACCTGATAAACATTGGTGCTAATAACGGGCAGTTCATTGCTCTTAATGACAACTTCACTTAGTCGTTACTTTAAAGACATGAGACGTGCTGTGCTATGGTACTGGGGCCTGTTGGTTCCACGCCTACACCAGGAGCGTATAAATTGCTCAGCTTTTCGAATTTTGTCCTTCCACACTGTCAGGCTGCCATCCCTCACAACTGTCGTTATGTTTGCCTCTGGCACCGTCCTCCTGCCTCAATTCTGCTACAGGCTGTGACTCCTGGGTAAGATCAGGTGCAGCACTGAAGGCTCCGAGATAGATAAAATACAGACTCATCAGCAAAGCTTTAAGTTCCTACGACTGCCTAGAGGTCTTTTCTTTTGGGGACAAGAAGAGACAGCTGGAATAGCTGGAGTTGCCAAGTGAGTCCCCTCCAGGGGTTTCAGCTTGGGCCTGCAGGAGATTCTGCAGCGATGCTGGGTGGCCCACCCCTCTGCTCCCTGGTCGGGAATGAGCCTATTGAAAGAACGGCTGCATCAGGAAAGACACAAGAACAGCCAGGCATGACCTACCTACATGTGTGTCTGTGTGTCTCAGTCATTTATCAGTAAATATCACCCAGGCCCTTCTACAGGCCAGACCTAAAGAGGCACTGGAGATGGAGTGCAGAACAGGACCACAAAGCTCCCTACATGCATGGAGCTGAGATTCCGTTAGGGAGACAAGCAATAAACAAATACCCAAAGAGATACACAGTAAGTCTGACAGTGATGACGAAAAGTGAAGCAGGGTAAGGGGAGAGAAACAGGGATGTTGGGGTCAGGGAAGGCCTCTCTGAGGAGGTAACATCTAAGTGGACAGCTGGAGGAAGTGAGTTTGCATGAACCTGGGGAACAGCGGTCCAGGTAGAGGGAACAGCAGGTGCAAAGGCCCTTGCATGTCAGTGGAAGGGCAAGGAGGCCAGAGTGGTGGGGGCAGAGTGGGTGGAGGGGGCAGGGTGGAAGACGAGGGCAGAAAGGTGTGGTGGTGCCTGATCCCGCAGCACCCTGCAGGCCACACCCACAGCTTTGGATCTGACTCTGAGAAGGGAAGGCCGGAAGTGCTTTGAGCAGCATAGTGACAATGGGAGAATAAGATTTCACCAGCGTCCCTCTGGTATGGACACAGGCAGGATGGAGGCTGGGAGACCAAACAGTGGGCTACTGTAGTAATCCAGGGAAGGGACCCCAGTGGCCTGGAAGTGGTGGGAAGAGGTCAGATAACAGATATATTTTAAGATAGAGCCTAGGGGCATTTGTTGAGAGAGAGAGAGAGAGGAATCAAAGTTAACTCCAAAGTATGGAGCCTGAGCAATGGATAGAACAAAGCTGCCATTTATTGAGATTTGGCAGACTCAGAGGGGACATTTGGAGGGCAACATTGAGGGTTCAGTTTTGGACAAGTTGAGTTTGAGACACCTGTTAGGCCATCAGGTAGCCAGGCATGTCAACACTGATTATACAGGTCTGGATCTGTAGAGATCTGAGCTGGGGAGGTACATTTTGGAGCCTTTAGAATATAGATATTTAAAGCCTCAGAACAGATAAGGTCAGTTAGCAGATGATCTTCAACTAGGGGCATCAGGTTATGAGTGGGAGTGTTTCTGGGTACCTGACAACTGGGGGGTATGCGGGCAAGTCACCGGCATTAAACGGGTGGGAACAAGAGATGCTAAATGCCCTACAAAGTATGGGGCAGTTTCTCATCATAAAGAGTTATTATTATACCAAAACTCCAACTAGCACCCTCACTGAGAAATGCTAGCCTGGGGGGCAAGCATGGAAGGAAAAAGAGAAGCCCAAGGACTGAGCGCTGGAGTCCACCAGGGCGGTGGCAGGTAGAAAGTGACTTCAAAGTCAAATAAAAATTATTTCTAAAATAGCCACTGTTAGGGATTATTTGTGCCTTTTTTCATCCATTAACACAGAAAAATCAATAGTATCTGTTCAGTTGTCTCTCAAACAGATGCTATCAGGGACTGATGGTGAACAAGAGAATGTGCCATAAACCTGCACCCCAACATCTACCACACAAGAGGGCCCCACGACAAGCACCGTGAGTAGCATAAAGTGGGTGCAACGGCCACACTGGAGAAGGCCAACCAGGAGGGAGCACATGGACAGGACCCTACCCAAAGCATGGGGAGGATTTTAACACATAAAAACGGAAAGAAGAGCACTCTGAACAGGAGTGTCTCCAGGCGAATGACCCAGCGTGAGCTGCACATGCTGAGCACCTGGGTCGGTCCTGAGCTATGTCCTTCCCATCGTCCAGCCTCCCTCCTCACAGAGCTCCTGCAAGGCGCGTGTTCCCTCTGATTCATGGATGAGGAAACAGATGAAGAAACTTCTAGTGAGTGGCAGTGCCAATTCTCACACTCACGTCACCCTGGATGCCAAAGTTGGGGCCCTTTTAACTGTGCCTTATGTTTCCCCAGCACGTTCTGGGAGGCCCGGAGGCTGGTCCAGATTGGTGCCAACCGACCGCAACAGGAGGTGAACCTGGAAGGATCTCTCAGAGCTGCACTGGGGAGGCACAGAGCATCAGGCCCGGGCTGACTCCATCCTGAGCGAGTGAGTAGCGGCAGGAGGTTTTAGGGCACAGGAGCAAAACAGCAGAAGGTGTGTTCAGAAATGAACATGAGGGTAGCGGGTAGGATGGCTGCCAGTGGGTGCCAGTACAGTGCCAAGAAAAAAGATGACCACCACTGCATTAGCTCCAGAATACACTCAGAGGGGCTCCAGGAGCGTGGGGCACAGACACAGGGGAAACCCAGCATTCAAGGACTCTGGACAAAGCCCCGTGTAAGGTTTATGTTTCTGTAGTTTAAGCACGTTGGTAGAGCAAGATGTAACACTCTCATTAAAGCTGCAGGAATACTTGGAATGAAAACATTCCCTAAATGTGCTTCAATGTCCTATGTTTCAGATATTTTTTGACTCCACATTAGAACCTGAACAATATTTCATTGCAAGAATGCTGCTACCAGCAAAGAAAAAGCAGTCCTCCCCACTTTGACATGAGAACCTTTTGGAAAGCAGTTCTGATTCTGAGCTTGACAATACCAGGGACAGAACTAACCAATATATGAAGTCACTAGCAGCTGTCAAGGGCCTAATAACTGACTAAGGCACCATCTTAATGAACACAATACAGGCCGGGAAAAGGCAATACGCCGTCACTGGCACTGCACGAATGTCTTGTGGAACCTGGCAAACCAGGCCTCTTTTCCATTATGAACTGGATATGAAAACCAAGATCAACCGAAAGAAAAAAGCCCCACTGGGATCCTGAGTGATTCACACAGTTGTCTAGAGAAGATCATATGAACAAATCAAATTCTTTCACAAATCTTAATATGTTCAGACAATAAGACCTCTTCTCCAAAAAAGCCCTTTAAAATTAAAAAGGCAGAGGAGTTTTTCAGGATACATTTGAAAGACTTCTCACTTCTTAGCTTCAGATCAACTGTTTAAGTTTTTTCCTATCCCGAACCTAGGATACGACTTCACGGAAGCCCACAGGTAGGAACCCCGTGACCAGTCTGCGGGACGAACGCCGTCAGGCACAGACGCAGCCCGCGGCAGAGCTCGCCCGCCTGCCACGCAGCCCCGCGCCGGCCCGCGCCCTCACCCGGGGCAGCTGCTCCCACTGCTCCCGGTTCTTCATCTCCTCTTGCACTTCGTGGATGCGCTTCAGAGACTCCAGACTTTCATCAAGCAAAAACGTTGTGTCATTTATCAGCATGTTTATATAGCGAACAAACTGCTTCCCCGAACTGAAAAGGCAATCACAGCGTACATGGTCATACATCTCCCCCGAGCAAAATGCCACAGCACATCCCAGAGAAAACCAGCCTCCACCCAGAGTGCCAGCCATCCCACCCCTCAGACTGCCTGCCTCGGCACAATGCAGGCACGGACCATGGAGCTCAGGACTACCAAGTCTCTCTTTAGACTGAGTGATTCCTTTACATTAATTGTGATAAGCTCATTCCAGTGGTGTGTTGGAGCTACCTTGCATGGCTCATGAGAGCTGATTGCTAAATATTCCAGAATTTTGTGAGCTGATTCCCTTGGCAGCTTAAATTTGACAACAGTGGAAGTATTCACACCATGGAAAACCTGCAAATGCTGACTACCCCCACATCCCCCAGCAGCAAGTTTACCAGCACATCCCTGGCTCATTCTCTCAATGTTTTCACGTAGAGAAAACACTCTTCCAGACTATAAAAGGAAATAGGCTTACACTCACCAAGATATAAAGAAAGCACAAATAATTACCCACATGTGAGAGACAAGAGAACTACTGATAGTTATTTCCTAAAGACACATTGAAGAAAAACCGGAATCTGTACATTGGTAAAGTAGGATATTAACTTACTTTATAGAACTTGAAGCTTCCAATCTAAGAAACTGTTCTACAGATCATGCTATAATGAAGGGACCTGCGGGTGACCTGAGATAGCTGGGCCTTCCTCTGTTAGAGTCTGTACTGCCAGATTAGTAGAGAGAAGAGGGAAGAGAAGCAAGACTCCAGGACCCACACGTGTGCAGTCAGGGGTGGCAAGCCCACGCCCAGGGAAGAGGCTCCTGTGAAGGAAGACAGGAGGCCCCCACCTCAGGGCCATGGCAAGTTCAGGGCCATGGACTCCCAACTGGCACCACACAGATCAAGCCATGGGCCTGCCTGGTCGCCTAAACTCATGCTAAGCTTTTGTTAGAACAGAATTCTGAACACAGATGGAAACAGAGTTAACAGAGTTTACTCCACAGAAAGCCAACTAACAAATGGTTACACCACTGGTGGTACATGCGAGGGGACTTCAAAAACTTCCTGGAAAGACTCATATTATCTTCTTATTCTATTTTACCATGAACTTTTTGAAGTACCCTCGTATATTATTGACTAGTAACTCAGTTAACAAGTGTAGTGGATTTAATTATGTCCCCCCAAAACTCACTGAAGCTTGAATTGTGTCCCCCAAGATTCATTTATTGGAAGCTTAATCCCCACTAACTGTTAAAAGGATGCAAAATCCTATTATGGTAATTGAAAGGTGGGGCCTTGAAGAAGTGGTTAGATTACAGGACCACACCATAGTGAATGGATTAAAAGTGGTGGTCATGGGTGTGTTTTGGAGGGCTTTTAAAGGAGAGTGAATGAGGTTTCTCTCTGCTCTCGCTCTGCCATTTTCTCAGTGTGATACCCTGTTGTCACTGCTGTCACCACCAAGGACTTCATCAAATGTGTTCCCTGGACTTTGGACTTTCCAGCCTCAGACACTAAGCAATGAATTTTGTCTTCCTACAAAATACCCTATTCTGTGTATTTTGTTATAAGCAACAGAAACAGACTAATACAGAAAATTGGTACCAGAGAAGTAGGGTGTTGCTTATAACAAATACTTAAAAATGTGGAAGTGGCTTTGGAATTGGGTGCTGAGGAGAGGCTGGAGGAATTTGGGGGAATGGGCTAGAAAAAGCCTAGGTGCTGGTGGAAGTTTAGAAGACAAGAAAACCAGGGAATGTTTGGAATGTTTTAGAGACTGGTTAAATAGTGGTGACCAGAATGCTTATGGAAATGTGGAGTAAAGACCATTCTAAGGAGGTCTCAGATGTAAATGAGAAGTAACTTATTGGAAAGTGGGGCAAAGACCACCCTTGCTGTGAACTGGCAAGGAACCTGGCTGCATTCTGTCTGTTCCCTAGGACTTTGTGGAAGTTGGAACTTAGGAACTGTGAACCAGAGTATTTGGTGGAAGAAATTTCTAAGCAGCAAAGCATTCAGGAATTCGCATGGCCACTTGTTAAGCCTATGCTTAGTTATGTCGGCAAGGCTACAACATAAAGCCAGAATTTAAAAGGGAAGCAGAGCATAAAGGTTTGGAAAATTTACAGCCTGGTCATATGATAGAGAAGCAGAGAACATTTTCAGAAGGAAAATGTGATGGTGCTAAGATCAGTACAAAAGAAAGGGATTTTCAGGAGGAGAAAAAAGGCCCTGAAGGCATTGCAGAAGCCTCTGGGGCAACCCTTCCATTTCAGGCCCAAAGGCCTAGGGAGACAGAATGATCTTGGGGAACAGGCCTGAGGCGCCCTCCATGGGCTCGCTGCCCAGAACCACCTTGGGAAGCTGCTTCTAGCACCAGCACCCCAGTTGTTTTGGCTTCTCCAGCTGTGGCTAAATTGGCCCCAGGTGTGGTTGGACCCTTGGCTTTGGAAAATACAAGCTGGAAGCCTTGGTGGTGTCCGCATGGTTTTTTGTCTGCAGGTTCTCAGAATGCCAGAGCTGTGAAGGCTTGGGAGCCTCTGCCTCGATTTCAAAGGATATATGGAAAAGTCTGGGGGCCCAGGAAGAGATCTGTGACAGGGGCTGAATCACCGCATAGAGCCTTTGCTAGAGCAATGCTGAGTGTAAATGTGGGGTTGGAGTTGCAACAGAGAAACCCCACCAGTGCCATGCCTAGTGGAGCCATGAGAGTGGGACTGCCATGGAGACCCCAGAATTGTGGAGCTACCAGCGTGCAACACCAGCCTGGGAGAGCTGAAGTATGGCCTGAGACAAGGAAAGCCATAGAAGCAGAGCTGCCCAAGAACTTGGGGACCCAACCCCCACACCAGCGTGCAGGGGATGTCAAACATGGAGTCAAGGTACCTGATCTGCCAGTTTTGAGATTTAACACCTGCCCTGCTGGGTTTGGGACTTGTTTGGGACCTATTCTTTTGGCCTATTTCTCCCTTTTGGAATGTGAATATGTTTGTCCCACCACTGTATCTAGGAAGTAGATCACATGTATTGATTTCACAGATATGACTTTGAACTTCGGACTTCTGAGATGAAACAAGTTAAGACTTTGGGGATGAAATGAATGTACTTGCATGTAAAAAGGACATGAGTTTTGGGGGGCCAGGGGCAGAATGTAGTGTTGAATTACGTCCCCCCAAAACTCACTGAAGCTTGAATTATGTCCCCCAAGGTTCATTTATTGGAAGCTTAATCCCCACTGTAACTGTTAACAGGGTGCAAAATCCTATTATGGTAATTGAAAGGTGGGGCTTTGAAGAGGTGATTAGATTACAGGACCATGCCATACGAATGGATTAAAAATGGTGGTCACGGGCATGGTTTGGAGGGCTTTAAAAGGAGAGTGAATGAGGAGGTTACTCTCTCTGCTCTGCCGTTTTTGCAATGTGATACCCTGCCGTCACTGTTGTCACCACCAAGAACTTCATCAAATGTGTTCCCTGGACTTTGAATTTCCCAGCCTTAGAAACTGTGAGCAATAAATTTCATTTTCTTACAAATTGCCCAGTTCCAGATATTTTGTTATAAACAACAGAAATGGACTAATACAAGTGATAGCTAACATGGGTTGCAAAAAGATCCAAGTAGATGGAATAAAATTTTGTCTGAGAGGGGCCGGCCCAGTGGTGCACTGGATAGTGCGCCGCTTGGGAAGCGCGGCGGCGCTCCCGCCCGAGGGTTCGGATCCCACGTACAGACAGGTTCCCGCTCACTGGCTGAGCCAGGCGCGGGAGCAACGCCGAGGTTTGCAATCCCGTTGCCGGTCCCCGGTCCGGTACGGGGGCAGCACTGAGGGTTGCGATCCGTTGCCGGACACGGAAAAAAGACAAAAAAAAAAAAAAAAATTTTGTCTGAGAAATAACTCAAGAGTTCAACATTTTCATCTTTCTTTCTTTTTAAAGCACTGACAGATAATTTAGATGGAGTTACTAATGTCCAGGTTTAAGCAGTCACTGAAATATCAGGTAGGTATATGAAAAGTCTTTAGTTAAGATTTAGGGCTTTACTACAAGGAATGATACTTGAAATGAGCACCCAAACCTAACTGCTTCTAAATCTAAAGTCATCCTGACGTTTCTAATTCTAAAGCTTGATTTCATATTCAAGAACACTGAGATCTCGTTTCAGTTGTTCTGACTTCACTTAATACTGTAATCACAGAAACACCAAAAAGCACGTTAGCACATCATCTCAGCATATTTATAGAATCTTTCTTCATGTATCCCAGCCCCAAAGTATCTGGACAAACCTAAAATTTAGCAATACTTTGCAAGCACAGACTGTTAGGTAACCCCGCCAACATGTAGCAGTATGTGGTAAACTTAAAGGAGGCTGAGACTAAGCAAGCAGTCAACAAGAACCCAGCCGTGAGGGCTTTTTAAGCTGCGGTCCCACCTGCAATTTGCAAGAGAGCAAGCTGTGAGATGAGGGGCCCAATACTCACTTGAACTCCTCCATAAAGGTGCCATGGTGAGCGATGTTTTGCCAAAGGCTTTTAAAAATGGTGCTAATGTGATAGCGAATTGTGAACTTGTCATAGAACTCGCTGGTAGCTCCAGTATGCTCAACATCTAAAGAAGAAAGACAAAGGGACTGAGGGAGATGTACTCTCTTACCTTTCCTAATGCGGTTATTGCTGCGACAATGATACTGAGTGAATATAAATCTGCAAAGTCAGAGATCTGGTAAAATTTCGCCTACATCTCGCACAAAAGGGAGAAGAGAAATTATGAGCTAGCTTTAAAGACAAAAGTTTCACAATAAAGGTCTGGTAATAATACAATACCAAAAGGAATGGGCCTGGGAAAATTGGCACCATTAGGATAGCATTGACTCACCAGTGACCAAAAGGTGACTTATCATACCTTCCCCAATTTTATTATTTATAGAAATGCCACAGCACTTCAAATGGGCATCCTTAGCAGAAAAAAAATTGGGTTAAATTTTGAGGGCCACGTACCTATTAAATATGTCTATTATTTTAAATACTTTTGTATTAAACATGCACTAAAGTAGAGAAAAGTAGAGTGAAGCCCCCACATAGCATTACTTATTTACCAATGATCAACATTCCTATACCTATTAAAATGGAACAAAAATCAGACTTGGTTACCCAAATGGTAAATAGCGTAAGCATGAGAAATTCCAGAATTCATGACAACTTTAAAAAGAGGAAAAACTGTCAGGGGATGACCATAAAGCTTATGAAAGAGATTAAAAATTAACATAAGTTACCATTTTTAACCCATCAAATTGGCAAACATTACAAAAATGACAATACTGAGTGTGGGTGAGAATGTGGGGAAACAGGCACACTCTGTGTGCTCAGGAGAATGAATGGTGATGCAGTCTCTCTAACGACAACCCGGCTACATGTGCCACAAGCCGTCACTATGCCCATCGCTATGACCCACCAGTCCTACGCAAGAAAACGCACAGACACGTTCAACCACTGATCTCCAAGGACACTCGCTTAACTATTAACTATGTTAGAGAAAAAATACAAATAATCCAAATGCCCAACAGAGAACACAAAAAGAATTTGTGACATGTTAAGTGAAAAATCACAGATTACCAAACAAAATACAGTTTGAGTCCAATCATATTTAAATATAAACTGATTGAAAAAATACAGAGCAAAATGCTAACAGATTTTCTCTGAGTGCAGAGATTATCAATGATTTTTATTTTCTTCTTGATATTTTCTGTATTTCCCAAAGAACACAATTTTTTTTTGTGACCAAAAAATAGTTATTTAAAAATGAAAGGAACAAGATAATTTACCTTTCATAAAAAGATCTGAAAATACTTATGTATATTCATTAAGATGAACTGTCATTTTATTAATTGTATAAAAGAGTGAAGTACAGTTTGGAGATTTAAGCACAGCCCACAAGAGAAAGACACCAGGGGCTGACATTGTGCCCCCATCACCTAAAACTGCACATACTACCTGCACTGTACTCTGAACATAGCAGAGGCTAAGTAACTACTCTAACGTGTTACACAACGACATACAGCTCTCCCAACATTTGTTCTTATTCACGCCTCATGTTCCCTCAAAATCATGTCAGCCCAAATTCTAATCCCAAGTCCTAGTTCCAGCAGGCCTTAAATAAACAAGACCCCTGTGGACCTGCACACCACGCAGGTCTCCCTGCTGCCTTCTTTCTTGATTCATTAAGCTGCCTAGGCCTCAAGGCCTTTGTACTGTTGTCCCCTTTCTCTGCCACACTGAAGCCGAGATCCTCTCGTGGCTCATGCTTGTCTCATTTTCTTTCCATTTTTTTTTTTTTCAAACAAAAGGTTCCAGATATTTATTAGAAAATCAATCCACTTGTGCAGAGCATAGAAACAAAGAATTTCCCTAATAAAACATGTCCACATGTCCACATTTTCAGCTTGATACAGTAAAATGACAGTGACATTGATTAACTGGTAAATATGTGTGCCATCTCATGTGCAATTCATCACAGACCCAGCTTGGTTCTTCTCCAATGTCTCCTCTTGGAGTTGTACCTGATTTTATTACCAGTTTTCATCTGAATCCACTGGGGAATGGGCCGATTTTGCTTTTGTTTCTTGGCCAGCAATTGCTCGATCCTGAAAGTCTTGTGAGAAGACACGGCGAGGAAGGGAAGCCGCTGCACACGCCACGATGGCGGAGAAAGGGAGAGAGAGGTCGCTTGTCTCATTTTCAGCATCACTCCAATGTCATCTCCTTGGAGACCTTCCCTGACAAGGCTTCTTAGAGCAGTTCTGTGCCCTGCTCACACGTTCACTGTCTCGAAGTCTCTTACTTATCTGTCCAGTGTCCATCTTCCAACATTCTAGAATGTCTGACCCATGATGGCAGGAAGTTGGCATCTTCACACATGATAAATACTTGATGACTTAGTGACTGAATCTATTTGGTTAATGCTGGCCTTGCCGATTCGATCGGTTTTGGGGAAGAGAACGGTATTGAAGTAAATCTTGCTTATCAGTGTTCTCCCATTTCTGAGAGCTGTTCCTTAAGGAACTGGCTGCTGTGATACAAAACAATGTACTCTTATTTTGAAACTTAATTGTATTTTTCAAACAAAACTTGAGCTTAAGCATTTTCTAAGCTAGAATACTGTCTCTGTGGTGTAAGAGGAGCTTGTATATGGTGACTCTGATTCATGTCTGAGAGTGAGACACGTTCAGGGGTCAGGACCTCATCAGCAGGTCTTAACATGAGGTTGACGGACACTTGCGGGAGTGTCTGTGATGCCCCACAATAGGGCTGTCTTGTCACTCCCCTGGTAACTGTAGGAAGAACAGCACAGCAGTCAGGAGCACCTGTGCTCAAGTGCAGCTGCTGAAGGTGCTGCCACACACTAGCTGCTGACCGTCAGCAAGCTTCTCGACCCTTCTAAGCTTCAGTTTCCTCATTTGTACAATGGAGATATTTATAGTACCCATCTTTAGGACTGCTGTGTGGATTAAGTGGAAGGATTAGTGAGTACTTGATGAGTGGTGACTATTATTAGTATTATTATTATTAGTACCACAGAGGTGGTCCAGGCCAGAGGGCACACTGCTCTATGGCAGAGGGGAAAGAGAGAACAGCAGCCACTCACTCACCAGCTCCTGGAACGTTACCAGTGGCACTCCGCCAGACACACCACTGGTTTCATAAGCAAAAGGCCCAGCCCTGCTGCACATGGGTGAACATGAGTGTACATGCATGTGCGTGCACACACGCTTTATCCTGAAGCCACATGACAAGCCCAGGGCACTGAGTACAAAACACATTTAAGTAAAATGTTCTTGTTTTTACTACTAACAATACACGTTTACTGTAGAAAAATTAAACAACTCAGATAATAAAAAAAGAAAAATAAATAAAACTATTCATAATTCTATCATTCAAAAATAACCAAGTCACTTAATATTTTGGTGTACGTCCTTCTCACATTTTTCTATATCTTTGTATACCGAAAATGTGGACATATTATTTCATTATGTGACATTTTCCTTACTGTTTGTTACTTAACCACTTAATGTAAATAACACATTACTGTTCATGGCTCATATAGGTCCACTGTACTGATAAACTATAATTGGCAGAAATTTAGGTTGTTTTTATTATTTCACGACACTGCATTATAAATAATGCTGTGGTGAATATCATCAGACACATTTACAGACATTTATAATTATTTCCATAGAATAAATTACTAGAAATTAAGTTTACACATCAGAGTGCATGCTGGTTATTTAGCTGTTGTCTCTCTTTATGCTTGGCTTAGTGATTTTGGGGCTGGGACTCAGCCGATTTTTTTCCTTTGCTAGCGGACTCTCTGTTAGGTTCGCCGATAGGGGGCGCTGTGAGAGACCTGGACAATTGAAGGAGCGACTAGGGATTTGGTCCTCCTCGCCATTCCTGCTGGTCTCCATCCCAGCAGTAGCAGGTGGTTCCAGGTTCCAGCTTTGTCTCGTATCCCCAGAACTAGCAACCTGGCACACCCTCAGAGACACCAGCACCAATGTCCTTCCTCAGAGGTCCTAGCTCCTCATCCAGGCAGCTGGGTTCTAATAACCCCAGACTCTTCCTTGTCTCCCCCAGCCGTAGGGATAGATGGTGGCTGCTTCCTGCACCTTTATTCTGGGTTGCCACGGTGTTCTTTTCTTGTTCCTTTTCAGTCTTCCAGTACTTATCTGACCAGTTCCTTGTATTAAATTCTCTATTAAAATAACTGGTATGTTTCTGTTTTCCTAACTGCATCTTGACTGATAAAAAGGAGGTAAAAAATTCTAAGGCTTTTGGAGTGGACTGACAAACCACCTTCTAGGAAGGCTTTACCCATTTTCATTCTCATGAAAGCTTCACTGCACTAATTCTGCACACTGGTTATAGGGTAGATTAAATTGGCTTTTGCCGGTTACTTAATCTCTCTACAATCATGTTAGCACTGGGTATTTTCGTTCAAAAAATAAATCTGATGGGTGAAAAGTGGTACCTCATCATTTGAGAAAGGCTGAATGATTTTCAATCCCACCAAACCTGCTATGTGCAGCGCGCCACACGAGCTCCTGTCCTATATGTGTGTAATGCACACTTGTACTTGAATGACCTGTACTTGTCCCCCATCAGGGCTAAGAGAAGAAAGCGAAGGATTTTTAACCAAAAAGGGGCCTTTTACAACCAGGAGTGTTCTCTGCTATTGCCAAAGTAAGGATGTTAACAAAACTTCAAAGGGCCCCGTGCTTGCTTTAGATTTAAGAGGATACGAAATAGGCTGAGGAAGGAGAGGAACTCTTATCAGATGCCACAAAACAATAGTGACAAAGAAAGCTGGTTGAGAGATGCTTGAAACCCTCAGAAGTGAAAAGAGATGACAGCACAGGCCCAAAATGAGCAAGAGCAGGTCTCAGCTGACAGAGAAAATGACTGTGAACACAGAGGAATCCTCAAACTCCCAGAGGCCCCCAGAAATCCTGATCCCACTGGTTTGAGTGGGGTTCAAAAATAAGCATTTTTAACAAACTTTCTAGTTTTACTCACACTTTGGAAACTCTGGGTTGTACTGTTACAAAACTAATGCTGTAAGTTCAAAGCCAAGGTGAACTATGTAATTTTGCTCAGACAGAAACAGCAACTTGTGCTGTTGTCACCAATTGAATCTCAATGCTAAGCATCTGACTCTCAACGGATGCTGCTGAACCACCAGAGACCAGCACGTAGGCAAGGTCAGTGTAATATTTCCCCTGGTTAGGGGAAAACAGTCCATGCTCTGCTGGCTGTGCATTAATAGCTCATGCTTGTATGTGGGTGTCAAGATATTAGGTAACAGGTTTACAGTGACTTTGTCCACTGGCTTTAGACACTTAGCCTAAGTCTGGCTTCCATGTGCTACGCTGGAACCTACCTGTATAAAACTTCATCAGGGAAGGTACCAACAACTTGGTGGAGAGAGGATGGTTCTCAATCATTTCAAAAAACTTCTGGGTTCGTGGCTGAACAGCAGGGTTGGTCATAAACATGACTTCTACCAGTTTGGCCACCAGATATGGATTTCGGATGTAGTTCTGGTTGCACAACATCACAACAAGGAACATCACAATATCCTGAGTGCAGGGCTCATAGAGCACCTGAGGAGAGTATCTGAACCGAGGCAAGAAGAGCAAGAAATAAATCTCTGAGAAACTCAACTGGGGTGAAGTCTGATGTCATTTAGTGGGGAAGGGGATAAGGGATAAAGAGGTCTAGGAGCAAAGATACTGAATTCCTTCTAGCTTGTTGAGCTTAAAGTGACTATATCATAACTAGACAGATTTAAAACCAAATGTGTTTATTGGCTATAGCATATTATATTAACTGATTATGCTTTAAAAAATAAACCAAAGCTATAATGAAATCAGATAAATTTCACAAAACGCCTTCACTACCAAAAAAGTCTTTTAAAATTTTTTGATAGAGTTAACTGCTTTAACTAACAAGAAAAAAAAAGAAAAAAAAAGATTTAAAAAAACCTCTGCTGGGCCGGCCCGGTGGCGCACTGGATAGTGCGCCGCTTGGGAAGCGCAGCGGCGCTCCCGCCCGAGGGTTCGGATCCCACATACAGACCGGTTCCCGCTCACTGGCTGAGCGAGGCGCGGGAGCAGCACCGAGGGTTGCAATCCCGTTGCCGGTCCCCGGTCCGGTACGGGGGCAACACTGAGGGTTGCGATCCGTTGCCGGACACGGAAAAAGACAAAAGACAAAAAAAAAAAACCTCTGCTGAAATGAGAATAAGCATATATGAAAATTTTCACATAGCTGTTTTTTTTTTTTTTTTTTTTTTTTACTGTGCTTGGAGCAAATTTTATTTTATTTTATTTATTTATTATTTTTTTTAAAAGATGACCGGTAAGGGGGTCTTAACCCTCGACTTGGTGTTGTCAGCACCACACTCTCCCAAGTGAGCCAACCAGCCATCTCTACATAGGGATCTGAACCTGTGACCTTGGTGTTATCAGCACCGCACTCTCCCGAGTGAGCCACGGGCCGGCCCTTGGAGCAAATTTAAAATGTGACTTAAGTTGCTGGCCCGTGGCTCACCCGGGAGAGTGCGGTGCTGATAACACCAAGGCCACGGGTTTGGATCCCATATAGGGATGGCCGGTTTGCTCACTGGTGAGCGTGGTGCTGACGACACCAAGTCAAGGGTTGAGATCCCCTTACTGGTCATCTTTTAAAAAAAAAAAGGGAGAGCGTGGTGCTGATAAGTTGCTTAAATTCTGAGGCTGGCTTCATTCAACAAATAAGCCATGATTTTTAATCACCTTTTAAATTACTTGCCATTCAAAACCCATGTGTCACCACTGACTGGGGCTTTTCATTAAGGCAGCTTTTCTGACAGCGATACAACTGGCTCCATTTAATTTTGGTTCTTATTAAAAAACATTTATACTAATTTTGGATTTTTCTATTGTTTGTTACCAAACTTTCACAATTTGTATTTTGTGATTGCGAACCTATACTACTTTGCCGTCCCCCCACCTAGCCAGGACCACCACAATAATGCTACCGTGGCGTCAAGGAATTACGATTCTGAGTCCTTCTAACCCGTAATGTTTCAAAAATAAAACGTGAATTTTATACACCAAATAAGGATTTGAAAAATTAAAAAACCCCAAACATCAGTTATAAACTCAACAATTTATTTGTGAGCTTTCTCTAATTTTACAATTCAGACAAATTTTGGCACAAAATATAGATGTGGATATTTCTGGCTTTTGGATGTCCACTCAGATATTTATACACTATTTGTTCCTTCTGTTTCTCAGACACACATACTCAACTATTAAACATTCCACTCGGTTTTCACAGAATACATTATCTGCACTGTTAATCCTGCTCTGTCTTTGAGATATTATTGGAATTGGACTGCTGCCACAGTTGGATTTATTTTTCCAGTCTCTAGGCAGCATTCAGTTAAAACAGTTACATAAAATTTCAGGCATAAAATGGGAGCTCTGCAATATAATCATGTACATATTATATATAAAAACATATTAGAACTGTGTAATTTGTTAAAGGCACTTACTGTACAATAAAAAATAAAAATTCAGCAACATCTTCTACATAAAACTCAGGCAACGCTGCAAATACCTTGGGGACATCTGAATTTAAAGGCAGTGTTATACTGTCAAAGAAGAAAAAAAGCACAACTTACAAAATGAAATCATGGTACGTCAAACTACAGAGAATATTACAGTACTATTAAATAAGTATTTTATTTGGGCAAAAAGACTCATTCTATAATACAACTATGTAAAAAGTATACAGGCGACAAAACCACAACCAGAAATGGGCAGGGAATAATGAAGACTGGATATGCAAGGGTGTTTGTGAAATGCTTTTCCTTTTCTTGATTTCTTGTTAAGGTTAACAAATAAAATGGGAAGGAAATAAGGTCAGATTTGATCATTTTGCACAACTCAAACTGTTTCAGACAAAAGAGCTACACATATTTTAAATAACATTTTCCACTCCTGCAGGGGGCTTGGGCCAATCTCAGCAATATTGGTGACCCAAAGACTTCATAATAACAATAAAATAATAATAAATAAAATTAAAATGGCTCGCTGGAGATGTCCAGTTGATGATAAAGTGCTCAACAATGTTCGTAGCTCAGTCTGTGAATTCGCTGCTTATCTTCCTGGTCTCATATCCTATTAGCCCCCAGCTTTTAGCTTCTGATTTATAGATTTCCCTTTTTACATTCCCTTTCCAAGATTTTATAGTGAATTGAAAAAAATACTATGTCAAAATTAAATAGGTGCTGATAGTCACCTATTACTGTAATTAATCACTGGGAAAACACCTATAAGTGTAATGAATTTCATAGTCTACATAAATATAATATAAAAAAACTGAGAAATGAGTTCTGAGGCAGTAAGGGTTTTGGTTTCAGCTATCGGAGAACCACGAGGACGACACAGCCCAGACCAGGAGGGAGGACGTGGGGGAAGCGCACACTCACTCGGGGTAGGCGGGGTCCAGGACGCGGAGCAGCAGCTGAATGAGCAGGCCGTAGAAGTTCAGACATCTCCGCAGGAAGCTCTCGTCAAGCAAAGCGGCGTCCGCGCAGGCCTTGCACCGCACCAGCCTCTGCGGAGGTAGCACGCCACACCCACGGATTAGTCGGGACCTGGGACTGCGCGTGACTGGGCAGGGAATGGGCCGGGAGATGGGAAATCTAGGATCTACAGCTTCTAGAGCTGCACCTCCAGCTCGCTATAGGATGCTGGTTGTGTCTCAAGCTCTTCACTTTTCCTGAGAAAAACAAAGGTATGCCAGGCAAAACTTTGAGTACAAAGTCTAGCACACAGGTAGGTGCTCAGAAGGGTTAGTTACTACTGTCATCATAACTTGACTAGGGGAGGAGGTTGACAGGAGAGGCTCTTTTCCCAGTTAGTGGGAAAAAGCCACACAAGTCACTGTCTGAACACCAGCATCACCACTTAGGAGCTGCCCTCAGGCAAAACGCTTGCCCACCAAGGATGTAACACCTACGTGAGAGGACTGCGGTGAGAATCACACACACACACACACACACGCACGCACGCACGCACGCACGGACGCACGCACGCACGCATCTGTGGGATGCTCAGGGGTCTACAGACTCCAGAGAAGAGCCCCTGGTTTATTCTGCATCTTTAAGAGGTCTAGTCTGTTAATAAATAAAACTGAAATCTTAACTTGTACCAGAAATCTGTCAGGTGAAATTTCCACATATCACCCTACTAATCAACAGAAAACATGACCAACTAACACTCAGCTTTGTAATTTTAATATAAACAGAAGAAAAATGCACAGATTTGCGATCTATGCTTTCCTTGTATAACTTTAGCCAGCATTTGTTTTTAGCTGTGACTCGTGAGCCGGGATATTCCCATTTATAGGTAGGTTCTGTATGCTAAATCACTTTCAATTAAAAATGAAGAATGAGGGGCAAAAGAAAGAGATCTTGCCATACAACAGATTCACTTTGTGAAGTATCATGAAAATGCATAGCTGGATATACTGGACAATGTGTGTGTGCCAGGGCAGGGGCCGGGAGCCAGCAGGTGGGAAGATCTTGTGCAAGGTAGGGAAAGGGAGTGATGTTAAACTGAGAATGATAAAACCCATTACGAATTCATATAGTCACTATATAAGCATATGCATATTTTGCCCTGAGATTTAAATAGTTGTATACAGATATATGCAAAGTATCAACAAGTTTTCAAATGTATTATTTTGCCTTAAGGGAAAAGAATAATGAAGAAAAAATAAAGACATTAAACTGCTTGCTCAAGGCACATATTCTGGGAAAATTACTACTATGAAGCTGGTCTATATAATTATTCCAATTAACAATACAAACCTTAAGCTGAGTTTTACAGCGCTTCAGCATTTCACGGTGTCTAGTTGCCAGTGGAGAATCTTTCCATTGGCTTTCATTATTTTTCAAATCTTCCACAGTTCTGAAATCAAAGACTAATGATCAAATGAAAGAAAACACCTGCATCCACCTTATCCATTCATTTTGGCCATTTCGTTGACGGTCAGATACCATCTTTAAAATCACAGTATATCTCACAATCAATGGCAAGTTATGGTTTAATTGGCAGCATTTTTCTTTCTTACTGGTTCCTAAAATAATGATGTGTCTTAAAATTGATGGCATGTTAGATTTGATGAAAGAAGTACATTGTTCCTTATTTTTCTGGGAGGGAAAAAAAGAAGACTCTCATGAAAATTCAAGGTCACTATGCCTACTTGATTACCCAAAGCAAAAGGTTATTTTACTAGTGGTGCTTCCTTTTTTTCTTTTACAACTGTTGTTTCCTCTGCTTGCAACTTGCTCCTTCACTTCCTTCAGGTGTCTGCTCACATATCACCTGTCAGTGAAGTAAAGTCTTCCCTGATCACCTAATATGCTGCATATTTTTTTTTTCCTTTTTTTTGTCTTTTTCCGTGTCCGGCAACGGATCGCAACCCTCAGTGTCGCCCCCATACCGGACCGGGACCAGCAACGGGATCGCAACCCTCGGTGTTGCTCCCGCGCCTCGCTCAGCCAGTGAGCGGGAACCGGTCTGTATGTGGGATCCGAACCCTCGGCGGGAGCGCTGCCGCGCTTCCCAAGCGGCGCACTATAGCAGTGCGCCACCGGGCCGGCCCTATGCTGCATATTTTGAAGACTGGCTACTTAACATGATCCCAACCCCTTCTATCATGACACTGTGTAGAAAACTAGAGGTTGCTAAATCTCTAAAAGCTCCATTTCCCAGACTCTCTTGCTGCCAGCATTTCTGCAAGACCTAGCTTCCTCCAAGAGATGACCCCTCACTGCAGGCAAAGTCAACACTGAAGTGGCAGCTGCATGATTCTTCTGGAAGCACAGTGGTGGAGGGGTTTTGGCTGAAGCTATAGCTGAGGCTCTACAACTAGGCTGAACCCTGAAGTAGCTTCCCTGTCAGGCCAGGTTGAGAGTATAGCTCTGGTAGTCTTCTTTTCCAGCCATTCTAATAACTCAATAAAACAAATAATACTCTATAATAATACATTTTTTTTCTCATCCCAGAAAAATTGGATTGTTTTGTCTACAACTGACATGTGAGCATGGCAGACAGAATAATGGTTCCCCTGAAAATGTCACATCCTACTCCCCCCCCCGAATGGAACTTGTGAATATGTGACCTTACATGGCAAAAGGGATGCTGTCGATGTGATTAGGGTAATGGTTTAAGATGGGGAGACTCTCCTGGAATATTTAGGTGGACCCAATGTCATCACAAAGGTCCTTCTAAGAGAGAGAGGGAGTCAGAGTCACACAAGGAGAGATGACAATGGAAACACAGGTCAGACAGAGAAGGAGATATGAAGATACTATGCCGGTTGCTTTGAACACACAGTAAGGGGGCCATGAGCCAAGGAATGCAGACGGCCTCTAGAAGCGGGAAAAGGCAAAAAAAGAGATTCTCCCCTAGAGCAAGGAGTGTAACCTTGAGGTTAGCACTCATATCCTCCAGAACTATAACATAATAGTTGTTTTAAGTCACATAAGGTTATAGTAACTTGCTGCAGCAGAAACAGGAAACTAATATAATGACCTATATGGTTATTGGCACCAGAACAGGTTATAGGTAATAGGCTCTCAAGAAAAAATGGGCCTCTGGGATCAGTTCTCCAACTGGGCTGGTCTGAAAGTGGTGAAGATCCAGTTAGTATCTGAAGATGGAACACTAGCAGCCCAAGGCTCTGAGTGGGAAAACAGCTACATAAATGATCGCTGGGGATCTCCTAGAAGGAAGTGACGGATGGTTGCTTCTAATCATGCTGGAGAGCTCGTGGAAAGAAAATACAGGCTCAAGATTTGAAACTCTCACCTCAGGGAAAAGTCAATGAACCAGGGAGTTTCTAACACTACTGTAAAGAAGCAGAATATGGTCCTACAAATTACTAAATTATAATATAGGCTACATTCATAACTTTACTGGGTCTGTTATCTGAAAGTCAGGGCAAAGATAGGGACCCAAAGAGTTCAAACAGAAGAATTTGAGAGAATGTAATGGCTCCGAGTACCCAAATCTCTCCAGCCCCAAGTCTCACTTGCTAGCACAGCAGCTCCTGTAATGGTTTCATCTGAGGCAGGTGCCTCACCAGGTAATGCCAGTTTCCTGTTGGTTCTACAAATTCACGTGGGTGAAGGGAAAAAAAGCAAAATTTGCTAACATGTGATACTGGTTTTCTATTGCTGCTGTAACAAGTTACCACAAACTTAGTGGCTTGAAAGAATACAATTACTGTTTTAGAGTTCTGGGGGTCAGAAGTCTAAAATGGTCAGCAGGGACGGTTCCTTCTATAGGCTCTAGGGAAGAACATGTTTCCTCACCTTTTCTGTCTTCCAGAAGTTACCTGCATTCCTAGGCTTGAGACCCCAAATCACTCTGCCCATTGCTTCTGTGATCACATTTCTTCTCTCACTCTGACCCTCCTGACTCCCTCTTATGAGGACCTTTGTGATGACATTGGGTCCACCTGGATAATCCAGGATAATCCTGCCACTTCAAGGTCCCTAACTTAGTCATATCTGCAAAGTCCCTTTTACCACGTAAAGTAACATATTCACAGTTTCTAGGGCTAGGAGGTAGTCAGCTTTGAGACGTCATTATTCTACCTACCACATAGGTACAGCCAGAAATGTGGGAGTATGTGTGGGGTTATGTGTGGGGATGGATTCTCTGATCAGCAAGAAAGGAAAATGCTACCATACTTCTATGTGAGGCTAAATTCACTGACATGATTATACCTACCACAAACTCTGGATTTGATATTAGCCTGAGTAGTTGGGAGGGGTTCTAACTGTGTGCCCAATGAAACTTGGAATTGACGGTGACCGATGCTGAATGAAGTTGACTTGCCAGGTATCCCTTGACATAATTCAGAGGTAAAACCTCAAAACTTAAGGAGCTTAGAATATTACTGTAGATTTACCAGGTGTGATTTGCTCAGATTATCCCCCTCCCAATACATGAACACACACCCCAACTATGTCCTTCTTATATCACAGCACTGGAAAATACACAGGTGAGGGAATACCAGCATCTCTGAAAAACACAACAGTGGCTGTTCACTGCCAGCTGGGAGTGAAGGTGACAGATGGTGCCACTGAAATGGACCCTTCAAAGCCAGCAGGAGTGATGGATCCCAGGATGACAATACATATCAGGATGAAGAAACAGATAAATCCACAATTGCAGTTTGAAATTTTTATAAGCCTCTCTCAATAACTGATATAAGCTGATAAAATCAGCGGAGATAAGGAATACTTCAACAAAAGTTTAACAGACTTGGCCTAAATGACATACATGGAACATTGCAATAAACAACACAGGAAGCACATTCTTTCTGGGTCTGTAAGGAACATTATTTACTAATGTAAATGTTAGGCTATAAAGCAAGTCTCAATAAACTTCAAAAGACACAAATCACACAGAATTTATTCTCTGACCACAGTGGAATTTATAGCTAGAAATCAATAACAGGAGATAAATACCCCCCAAATACAGTATTTAAACAATGTGTTTTTAAATAACCCACAGGTCAAATAAGAAAAAAGAAAAATTAGAAAATATTTTGAACTGAACAATACCAAACACGAGGGATGCAGCTAAAGCTACACTTAGAGGAAAACTAAATAGTCTTACATGTATAAATAAGAAAGGGCTAAAAGGAATGATTTAAGTATCCTCAAGAGGCAATAGAAACATCAACAAAAAAGCAAACTAAAATTAAAAGAAAGCAAATCAAATAATAAAGATCCTACAGACATTAAGATGGAAAAAAGAGGATATTGTGAACAACTTTATGCCTAAAAATTTTGAAACTTTAGATATTATGGAAAAACTGACACAAGATAAATGAAAATTTAAATAGTCTTATATCTATTAATTGAATAAAACCCATAATTTAAAACCTTCCCACATAGAAAACTCTAAGCCTTTACAGCTTTTTCTGGACATTTAAGGAAGAAATAAGATAATTCTTTTTTTTTTTTTTGTCTTTTTCCGAGATCAGCCACACGGCACTCAGCCAGCGAGCGCACCGGTCATCCCTATATAGGATCTGAACCCGCGGAGGGAGCGCCACAGCGCTCCCAGCGCCGCACTCTCCTGAGTGCGCCACGGGCTCGGCCCAAGATAATTCTTATATAATAAATTCTAGCAGAGAATATGAAAAAGGGGAACCACCACCCAGTTCGCTTTGAGGCAAACGTAACTTTGATACCAAAATCTAAGAAGCATTTAACAAGAAATGAAAATTATAGGTCAATCTTTCTTTTGAATAGACTCAAAAGTCCTAAACAGGGGGCAGGCCGATTAGCTCAGTTGGTTTGAGTGCAGTGTTATAACACCAAGGTCAACGGTTCGGATCCCCAAACTGACCAGCCACCAAAAAAAACAAGACTCATAAAAATCCTAAACAGAATATCAGCAAATTGACTATCCAAAACAATGAAAAAAATTAAAAAGTCAAGTTTATTCCAGGAATGAAAGATTGGTTTAATATCAGAAAACCAACTGATATAATTTAGCCACATTAACAGAATAAAGGAGAGAAAAACATCTAATCTCCTCAACTGATATGGAAAAAGCACTTAATAAAATTCGACTCATTAAGAATAAAAAACTTTAAGCAAACTAGAAATAAAAGAGAATTTCTTTAATGTGACAACAAAGGATATATACAAAAAGCTTTCCCCATTAACTGGAACAAGACATAAATTTCAAGAAGGTTATTTCTATTCAACATTACAGCAGAAATTACAGCCAGTGCACTAAGGTATGAAAAAAAAAAGTTTCAGAAAGAAAGAAAACTGTCATCATTTACAGACAACATGATTATGTGTAGAAAGAATATCTACAAAGTAACTACTAGAATAAGTGATTTTTGCTGGGTAGATAGACTTATAGATAGAGAGATGACAGTTTCTCTCCTAGTCAGAGTACACAGGTACTAGACCAAAAGGTGGAAGTGGCTTCTCTATTTACTGGTATTCCAGATGACCAGTTTGAAAAATGTTTGCTTCCACATTCCTGTGACTGTTGTGTGTCTGGAGGTGCTGGTACATGGGGACAAATGCTTAGACTAAGAAACACAAAATGGTGCTAATGAATTGGAAATTGAGGCTGCTACCTAGCCACTTTGGACTCTTTTTTTTTTTTTCCTTTTTGTCTTTTTTACTGACCGGTAACGGGATTGCAACCCTCGGTGTCGCGCCCATACCGGGGACTGGCAACGGGATCGCAACCCTCGGTGTTGCGCCCGCACCGCGCTCAGCCAGTGAACGGGAACCGGTCTCCACGTGGGATCCGAACCCTTGGCGGAAGCACTGCCGCACTCCCAAGTGACGCACTCTCCAGTGCGCCACCGGGCCAGCCCCACTTTGGACTCTTTATGCCACAAGACAACAGGCAAAAATGGGAATTACATGTTGGTGGGAGCAAATTATCTTGATTATCAGGGGTAGCCATGGTTATGTCTAGAATCCGAGGGATCCTTTAAAGTGCCTCCTGGTAACGCCATGCCCAGTGGAAAAAGGTAACGGAAATCTGTAGCAACCACATATAGAGAGAATACCAAGGATTCAGAACTCTCAGAAATCAAAGTTTGGATCACATCACCAGGTAAAGAACTCTGGAAAACTGAGGAACATGGATGTGATAGTGGAGGCAGACAGTACACTGTAACTCACATACCCCCCACATTCAAATCTCCTGGTCACAGTGGAACTGCCTGCTCATGACAAGTGGCAACTCAGACAATCCCAGGACATGGCATCAGGGCACATACCTATTGAGCTCCCGGATGGCCCGAAGTCTGCGGATATAGCGGCGGCAACTAGGCAGGATGGAGAGGTGGTGAGCGTGCAGGGTGAGAAAGAAGCATTCTGTAGGGAATTTCGGCTCAGAAAATGGAGGCTGATCTCCATCTAGGAAAAGTAACATAATTCCTTAAATACAAATCAGGAAAAAAGCTCAATTCTGAAGAGAAAATTACACTTGAATTTTCAAGAAACTTAGGGATACTCTCTTAAATTATAAACTTGAAGTAATGTTATAAGAGAAACAGAATTCCTGTGAGCTCCATTTAAGGACCAGGTATTCTGCCCCATCTGATTAAAAGATTACATAGATGTCTATCAACAATCTTTTGTAATGTGTCTTTCTGATGTGTTTTGTAAAACCATTTACATTTTTCAACACAATATACAAATATCATTTACATATCAAAATGGTATCAGATAATATTAATAAGCTACTGATTCCATAGCCTTTCCCTGCATGTTTGTTATTTCTAATTTTTCTCAATTATAAGTAATAGTACCACTGGGAGGATCTATATACAAAAAAATTACTCCCTTTTACCTCCCCCAGCCCTAGTTTTGGAAATATATTCTGAAAAGCAGAATTACTGGGAATAACAGTATTATAATTTTTGTTATGAATCATCAAAATTCACTTAAGATAGATTAAATAAATTAAATTCTATTTCTTCATAAACTTACATTCAATTTTATGACTTTGGTTTTGGCTAACTCGCAGATATATAATGGTAATTTGAATTTCTTTCAATTTGTAGCTAATTCCTACAAGTACATATATTTTTTCCTACATGTGTATTTTATTCCCTATGACATATATACTGTTTACATTTTTTTCCCAAGCAAAAGAAAACTGTCATCTTGGCAGAATTTAGTTTTGCCTTTAGATGTTTACAACAGTTCTATATTTTAAATAGTATGCTATTATCAATTATGCAACACACATTACCCCATTCTTTTACATATTCATTTTGTCTCACTGCATAAAAGGCACATTTACATATTATGACACATGCATATTATCTCTTACTTAAATCATAAATTTCTCTCTCCTTCACAGCTAGGTCAAATCTTCTATTTGGTTTTCTAATGTTTTCTTTATTAGATTTTTTTTAAGATACATGCTTAACACTTTGACTATTTTGGACTTCGTTATACTATAAGGTATGATCCTAAGATTATACCAATAGCCATTTATTCAAATGACAGACACTGATTTTATTGTTCATTGGACACTTAGCTCTTAACAACAGTTTAAATATTTTTCTTGAATGTGTACATCTGATCATGATACTGCCACTGCTGGGTAAGCATGAATTCATCCTATTCCATAAATAATTTTATAATATTTAAAATATAAATGCTATAGGGTTTTTTTTTTTTGTCTTTTTTCCGTGTCCGGCAACGGATCGCAACCCTCAGTGTCGCCCCCGTACCGGACCGGGACCGGCAACGGGATCGCAACCCTCGGTGTTGCTCCCGCACCTCGCTCAGCCAGTGAGCGGGAACCGGTCTATATGTGGGATCCGAACCCTCGGCGGGAGCGCCGCCACGCTTCCCAAGCGGCGCACTAACGCAGTGCGCCACCGGGCCGGCCCAAGGTTTTAATGTCTGTCATTAAATAACATGTTTTATATTGAGAGGAAAGATCTACAATCATAACACCTTCAAAATATTCATATTCCAAACCGTCAATTCGGCAACACCTGTGAAATATTTAATGAGAATTTTAACTGGTATATATAAAATCTATACAATAACTAAGTTGCTACTATCATTTTTATTATATTTCTTTTATTTTTAACTTAAAGCAATATATTTCTTCCCGTTTGTTTGATGTATCTATCTGTTTTGGCTAAACCAAATAATTCCTCACCGTACTAATGTATTGTGTGTCCCTATGTCATAAACTCATTTTATGGAGAAGTCATGACAATGTGTGAGGCGCGGCTAGCATCCAGGTGAAAGGGCCGTGTTTTGGTGCCGGGACAACGAGCACGTCACTCACAGAGCTCGGTCAGCCAGTCGCTCACATCCTCCATCGTGGCGTTCACTCGCGTCTCGTCGTTTGGAAGAGTAATCCGACATCTTGGGTGGAATATATACGTAGGATCAACCGTTTCTAACTTGATTTTTGTACTTAGCTGCTGTAGTACCCAAAGGAAATTCAGCATAAATCCATCTGTAGATACCAATCTATCATCTGTCTGTAAAAATATAGAAAAAAAACTATTTAAAATAACAATGTGAGTAGAAATTTTGGCACAACTTTATATGAAAGCAGACTGAACATTCAAACATGACCATATGCCAAAGTTAATGAGGGGACACATACATCGTCACCACTGTCATTCTATTAGCAGGTGCCATTTGTTGAGTATTAATAATACGTGAAGTATTTTATACATTCTTGCGCTGAATCTTCACAATAACCATTAGAGGTCAGCAACACTGCAATTCACATTTTACAGAGGAGGAAACTAAGGCTCAGAGAATTTAAGTGATTTGCCCAGGAGCCTCAAAATTACTTAAGTAGAAACACAATAAATGTTGCCTGCTTTTTCTTCTTTATTTCCTCTCATCAGCATCAGAACAACTAGTTCCACTTACTACCGCTTGACATACGTTCTCTAGCTGACAGCACTAGCACAGTCCTGCATTAATAAAAGAACAATTCAAAGAGCTACAATTAGCACTGGTTGAGAGATCACTATGTACTAGGCACTATTCTAACAGTTTCACATATAATATACCTACAAGTTAGGTGCTATTATTGTCCGCATTTAGTAGATGAGGACTGAAGCACAGAGAAGTCATTGTCTGAGGTTCCACTGTTAGTAAATGGTCAAAGCCGATGAAATCACCAGGTCTATGCTCTTGTCTACACTTTTGTGTTTGCTTCCAAGTAGAGGTCTCACATCATTTATTTACTATTTATTAATAATCTAGGAAGGATACCCTTTTAACTCTTCTATCCTGGCAAAGTAGCCACAGCCACTCTCTCACCAGGACTAACGCACACATGACCTTGAAACTGGTCTCCTTGGGTCTGCTCCTGACCCCCCCCCCCCCCCCCCCCCCT